AAAATAAGATGAGATAAAAAGAGAAATGGAAGGGAAAGGAAATAGGGAAAGGGACCAGTTGTGTAATGGGGTCGTACTCTCACAGCAGCGAAGCGACATCTGCTACAGTGGGACAATGACATCGCGTACCGGAAAGGATAAACGAAGATTTGGGTACCTAATTACCCTTCATTGCGCCTGTTACTACTCGAAGAATACCACGACGTCCTGTACGCGGGGACACTTCGGTAGCAACAAGACGCTCACTGGTATCGCCAAAAACTACTACTGGCCCCACTTGGCAGATGACGTACAGAAATTCGTCACCTTGTGCACTACGTGTCAACGGATGAAGAGCAGCAAATAGAAAAAGGCGGGTCTACTACAGCCTTTTCCGGTCCCAGAACAGCCATGGCAAGTGGTCAGCCTAGACTTCATCACCGGGCTACCAACTACCACAAGCGGTCATGACGCGATCCTTGTCGTCATTGACAAGTTCTCCAAAATGGGACACTTCATCCCGACACACACGACAGCACGCACCGATGAGACAGCACAACTATTCGTTCGATACATCATCTCACAGCATGGCATTCCAACCACACTTATCTCCGACCGAAACCCCAAGTTCACCAGCAAGTACTGGAAGGAACTTATGTCTCTACTCGGGACCAAACTCGCCATGTCATCCGCCTACCACCCGCAGACAGACGGACAGACCGAGCGCCTCAACCAAATTGTCGAGCAACTCCTCCGAGCAGCCTGCAAGGACGTGATCTCCAAATGGGACTTGCACCCCGTTACACCACTGGTCCCTTTCCCTATTTCCTTTCCCTTCCATTTCTCTTTTTATCTCATCTCATTTGGTTTCCTATTCTCCATTTTCCATTAACCTTTGGTTTCTCCTGCTATTATAATTATATCACCGACCAGGCTTGGGATGTACTGGTGCGCTCTATCTAGCGTAATCCTGCCGTAATCCCTTAAAGCCAATAGCCTCGCGTGGTTATACGCAGGGTGATTCTATTTTCTAGAAGGGTCTATTCCCTTGGGAAAGATAAACCTAGTTACCTGATGTACTTTGGAAGTATAAAAGCGCCTTGTACTGATCGTTAGTGCAATCTTTCCTCGAGTCATTCGATCCTGTAACATTCAAGAACATGCAATAAAACCCTCGTCTTTTTCGCCCTGTTCTTGCCCCCTCTGTAATACAGCGCCAATAGCCGCTAGTGTAGCAACCCCTCTCACATGTCGTCGAACGTGATCTATTCTGCCAGCCTCGATTCCTCTCGTCATCTCGCATCGCCAGCTATGGCTGGTCTGGGCGATGCTGACGACGGCGGGGAGGTTGAGGATGACGCCCCACCCCCACGTAGGTATGCCCCACTCTGCGGTTTATACTTTTTGCATCCCACGAACGTCTCCCCAGTAGACCCTCCTCCGCTTCCAAAGCATCGACTTACCGACCCCTTGTAGAGCCTCCGCCGCTCCCGAGTCTAAGCAGCAATGAATGGGAGCGTGAAATCGAGGAGGTGAATCTGTCGGTTGACAAATCGGCAAATCCTCCACCTCCGGAACCCGTGCCCTCGACGGCATCTGCATCAACATCGACGGCTAAAAAGAGCCGACGGTACCAGCAGATGCATCTGCCCTTTGCGTCTCCTCCCATGACAGCGCTACCAGCAACCCCTGCCCCCATCGTCGAACCAGAGCAACCCCTCCCGCCAACGCCGGTCGAGAAGAAGGCAAAAGCTTATCGTGCTGCTCAGAAGAAATATACCGCAGATTGGCATGGAAGGTTTCCTTGGCTCGTCCTGGATAGAACTGACGTTGTAGTGTGTGCATGCAGCATGGCCAGCCGACCGCCCGCTACGGTCGCCCTGGCGACAGGGACCTGCAGATTGGCCGCATGCGGTGACACGAGGAGAGCACCAAGCATGAGGCCTGCATGCAAAAGCAAGCTCACCTTGACAAGGAAATCGAAAACCAGAAGCCCATATGGACGACTTTGCCACGAACGGCCCCGATGCCACCCGCGTCATAAGACTTCTATGCTCCATGCTATTCTGTAAGGAAGATGCCCCAATTTCGATGTTCATACGTCTAATCAGTCACCTGGCGTAGGAGGGAGTGAAGGATATACCCAAGCAGACTTACGGCGCGTACATCACAAAGTGCGCGGGTTTCCATGTTTGGTGTTAAAATGTAAAATTTTAAAGTGTTCACACTTTCAAAATTGCGTATTGTGAATGCGAAGCTGCTTGTAACGCAATCTCAAGCATCGTCGAAGCGCGCTATTCGCCCTTCTCCAACCATATAATGGGGTTGGAGGTCATTCTTCCTCCACCCACGTTTTCCATTTTTCCCAGCTCAAGTTCAATACCCGCCCACCCAACCCGCTTCGTCTACCCTCTTCAGCACGCACCGCTTTGGTGGATCATCCTCAGCATAGAGATATCCCTTCTAGTATAGAAAGTTTATGCTAATATATGAATATATTGGGAACTCTTTGTACTTGATGCCAGTGGAATGAGAACGATGCCATTTGCACTACAAGTAGCAAGCTTTCTCAATTCTATTGAATACTGGACGGGAGTCTAATGTCTTGTCTTGTTTTATGGTGTTTGTCGCAGGTATGGATTCAGGGAGATGGTGAAAGCCGTGGTGGCTTTCTTGAAGGCGCAGCAGATGGAGCACATCCACTCCTCCCCGTTCATCGGCATCAGCTGCGACGAGAGTACCAACCGCACTTGCGGAAAGCACCTCATCGTCTTCGGCACCTTCTTGAAGAAGCGGTGCGTCATTACTGAGTTCCTCAGACTGCTCACCATCGACAAGTGTGATGCCGCGTCACTCCAGTCTGTCCTGCTGGGTCACCGGGAGGGGAGTGGCATCGAGCTTCAAAAGATCGCTGGTATCAGCACCGACAGGGCGTCGATGATGACCGGGAAGAAGAACGGGCTCGTCGCTTATCTCCGACCGCATATCCCACACCTTGTCGCTTGCCACTGCTTCGCCCATCGGTAAGACTGCCGTTGTAGTACCCTCGTGTCTATGTCTCTGTGATTCGCCTCACTTCTTGTGCCTTGTGCCATCGCAGAGAAGTGCTGGCGGTCAAAGACGCCTCCAACTCCTTCCCGGACCTGTTCATCGTCGACGTGATCATCCGAACGTTCAGGGAGATCGTCGATCACTCGACGCCGTGGTACAAAAGGTTCAAGGCTCTGCAACTTGTCATCCACGATACGAACCTCGAACACCAGGGGCTATACGCCATCAGGTGGCTTGCGAATGGTGACGATGTGCGGCGGCTCTGCAGGATTTTCGACGCGGCCATTGCTGTCTTCATGGAGTACAAGCAGAAGCACGTCGCGCTGCTCAAGTCCTACAAATTCCACTTCTGCCTCTACTTCCTCGCCGACATCCTCGCTGAGCTCAACACTCTGAACGTGTTTGTCCAGCACTGCACGGTAAGTTGATCTGTTTAGGTTTCTTTGGTGGCACGTTGAAATGATTAATGTCTTGGGTGTGCGTGTGGCGGTAAACTCGTTCTAACATCCGTGCCCTTTGCCCTTGCCCTCCCACCTCGACTGTCAGGTGGACATCACGCTCGTCATCCAGGAGGTCGACCACACTGTCAACAACATCAAGCACCGATACATCGCGTACATGGAGGGGTTCGACGGCGGGCTCAGCGAGCGGCTGGACAAGTTCCTGGCCGACTTCAAGGAGGGCAAGGGATCGCTCGAGGTGCACGGTATCGTGGTGGATGGCTCTCCCTGTATGCACAAGTTCGAGCTCACCATGTCGCGCACCTCGGGACATGCGTTCGGCGGCACCCCGGCCGACTGCGAAGATCTTTGCGTGGATGGAGGGGTCAAACCTCTACAAGGTGGACCAGTGGCCCAAGAAGACGGAGGTGTGGGAGAGTCGGTACCGCAAGTGGGCCGAGCAGAACATGGCGCTGTTCGACAACAAGTTGCCAGGTGAGTTTCTCTAAAAGTGGTCGTTGTCGTATGTCTTGAATCTGGTCAGATTAGATGCCTCCTTACTTACTTAAACACACCTCCAATTCGTGCCATATACGCCCTGCCCCCCCCTCTCCCCTCCCCCCCACCAACAGGAATCGGACTACGAGCAATGGAGCTGGAGTTGAAGACCTTCTGCCACATCATGAAGGCTCACTGCAAAGACAACGACTTTGCCCAAGGCTTGGTCAACATGATGAAGACGAAGGACTGGTCCAAGTCCTACCCGAACCTGATGCCGATGTGGCAGGCGCTGGCGTTGTTGCCCTTGAGTGCGAGCGCGGCTTCTCGAGGCAGAACATCATCAAGGGATGGCATCGCACAAGCCTGTGCGATGCCACACTTGGCGACTTGATGACCATCAGCATGCCGGACTACGACCTGGACTACTCCCAGATCATGGAGAAATGGGCCTGCATTAGGCACTGTAGGCAAGCTAGGAATGTTGAGTTTGAGCAGGAGATTCCCCTCTTCCCACAGCAGCAGGATGCTGCAGAGAGCTCAGAGGATGAGAGTGCCATAGGTGGAAGTGAGGATGACGAGGAGCATGATGATGATGAGTTAATCATGTAATGCTATGCTATGCTTTATTACCAAAATAACAACTGCTGTCAATATTATACTTTGTGCAACAAGCATTCTCACGAGTCGGAGAAAATACCACCCTGACTAGCCAGAGTAAAAATCTTGAAATCATAGGGTTACTCTGATGCCACAGGGGAAAAAGTTGAGGACCACTATGGTTTTCAGAGTAGTGGTAAAAGTCACTTCCAGATTTTAGAGTAATGAAAAACCAAAGATCAGCATTGGTCCTGTAGCATCGAGGTGGATGCGATGGCTCAGAAGCCGGAAAGGCTCGAGTGTCGGTTTGACCATCGGGCGGACACTGGGGACGGCCGCTAGTCGTGCGAATGCTGACGTGCTGGAGACGTAGGGATGAAGGAGGTTGATGTGGAAAGCTCATGAATGTGCCATTCGACCGGCAAAAATAATTTCTCTGTGACAGATGTCACAATTTTCACGATGCGAAATCTTGGCCGGAGCTTGGAGAGCAGGGGCAGGCGGAGGTTCTTCGTGTCGAGAAGGACTAGTTGCCCAGCAGCCATGGCAATATAGTAGCAATGAAGTTCAATGTAGCGTCTAGCAGTGGTGTAGGTCGTTGACAAACTGCTGCGAGCGGGGGACGGGGCTGTCGATGCTGGTTGTCGATTGTACAGAAGGGTCTATCCCGTAGTTGAGGAAAAATGACGAGTGATTTGTCGTTGCAAATGGAGCATTGCTGTCGGAAAATTCCAACATGGGCAGGAATTCCTCCCACCGTGCAGGATTGGGGCAGTTGGTGCGTATCAGCTGCTCCATGGGCTGATTGGTGCGCTCGGTTTGACCGTCGGTTTGTGGGTGGTAGGCGGACGAAAATTGCATGCGGGTGCCGTACTAGTATTCCCAGGTTTTGCCAAAAATTGGATGTGAACCTGGGGTCGCGGTCATTGATGATCGCCAAGGGTAGGCCGTGCAGTCGAACAATGGTGGAGATGAACAATCTTTCAGTCTCTTTGGCTGTGATTGTCGTGCGACAGGGTGCAAAATGTGCCATCTTCGTCAAACGACGAGGATGACATCATTGCCACTTGCACCGGCGGGAAGTCGCGTGACGAAATCCATTCTCACGTGCTGCCACGACTTCTGTGGCGGCTCGAGCTGTTGCAGCAATCCAGCTGGCTGCTATCGAGGGGACTTCATACGCTGGCAGGTCAGGCACGTTGTGACGTATATTTGCGCATCAGACAACGGATCGGGCCAATAATAATAACTATAAAGTAACTTCTTGGTTTTATCAACCCCGAAATGACCGGAGAGGTTAGAATCATGGAATTCTTGAATAAGTAATTTGCAGAGGAGTCGGTAATCGGTGACCTGGATGCGGCCAGTGCCGAACTTTAGGAATAAATTCCCTTGGTCGTGGTAGCTTGCTGGTGGAAGTTGCTGGTGAAAAATGGGCCAAATGCGTAGCCATGGGTAAATATTCCGGTAAGGAGCGGGTTGGATTTCGCAATGATGATGGAGGCGAGGTGGGCGGACGGTCTTGTCAGTGCGTCGGCGATGTTTTTCGCCCCACGTTTGTAGGTGATGGTGTAGTGGAATTTTGACTCAAGGAAATCTAGCCAGTGAATCTGTCGTGGGTTGAGGTTCGGCTATACGCGGAGGTACTGTAGTGATTTATGGTCGGTCCGTACTTTCACGTCGGCTCCCGTCAGGTAACAGCGCCACACCTTGATCGCGTATACAATGGTGAGCATTTCTTTGTCATGGACAGGGTAGTTGCACTCGGCAGCCTGCACCTTTTGTGGACTCATACGCGATTGGTTGGATTCCATTGCCGAAATCATGTAATTAGTATCGCACTGATGGCGAAATTGCTGGCGTCCGTCAAAACTTCGGTCTTCATGGATCAGCGATTCGGAAGACCGGGGGTGAGATAAGAAAATTTATGAGTTCGCCGAAGGCAGCCTAAAGTCTCTCCCCCCACTCAAACAGAGTGCCCTTCTCCAACAGGTCAGTTAATGGCCCGGTTATCCCTGCCAAATTGGGGATAAAATCGCGAACGTAATTAACAATTTCGAGTATTCTGCAGCTCCTGTAAATTCGTGGGCAGCTTCCAGTCGCGGATGGTGGTGATTTTCTTCGCGTCGATCTTAATGCCGTCTGCTCCAACGACATGTCCCAAAGATTCCAGTTCGGATTTTAGGAACTCGCACTTAAAGCCCTTGGTGATGAGACGGTTCTGCTGCAGCAACTGAAAAACCGCGTCGAGGTCCTGGAGGTGCTGTTCCTCGGTTTTGGTGAAGATGAGGATTTCATCTACAGTAGGTACACGATGGCACACTTGTCGAGCAGCACCCTGAACACGCTGTTCACGGTCAGCTGGAGTGTCGAGGGCACGTTCGTGAGGCCAAATGGCATCACCGTGCACTCGTGGCTGCCGTATCGGGTTCAAAACGCCATCTTGTGGCAGTCATCAGCGAAAACACGGATCTGGTGGTAGCCACCTCGCAGGTGGATCTTGGAGAAGAAGCGAGCTCTGTGAAGTTGGACCAAGAGGTCGTCAGCACGCGGGATTGGGTAGCGAGACTTGATTGTTTTGCGATTCAGCGCCCGACAGTCAATGCACATTCGGAGCCCTCCGTATTTTTTGGGCATGAAGAGAATGTGCACTTTAAATGGGGACATGCTGGGATAAATGAAGCCTTCTCCAGTAGATGATCCAGCTGGCTCCGCAACTCCATGAGTTCGGGCTGAGTCAGCCGCCACTGTGTCCTGACAGTTGGCTGTGCGCCAAGTTCCAGCTCGATCTTATGGTCCTTGGGGAGCTCAGGTGGCAATCCGACTGGTAGGTCATCTGGAAAAATATCCGTGTACTGTCGGATCAGTGTGACGAGTTAGTCGGGCACGATGTTACACAAAGTGTTGATGTCCCTCGGCGTGTTGTCAGCCGTTGCTGCGTGGAGATGGACGGTGTAGAGGTCGGCTCCCTTTTTTACCGCTCGCTTAAGCATGATGGCGTTGACACGTATCGACACCGGATCCCGTCCTCGCCAGCAGGGAAGTACGCGTTATCCACATGTACAGTTCACGCTGCATTCGCCAGTCATCCAGTCGATGCGTGGGTTGTACTTTTGCAGCCTATCGCATCCGAGAAGGATATCGCAGCCATCCAGCGTCGTCGCCAGCATGGGCATGCTGAATCCGAAATCGTTGCCACAATTCATTCGCACCATGCGCGCTCGCTCCCGAATCGCCAATGGAGTCCCGTCTGTAAGAAATAGAGTTGAAATGATTGATTAGGTAAGGAGCCCAAGGCTCTATAAGTACATGGCAAGGTGAGAGAGAATGGATGAAGAGGGAATTGGAGGGAATCCCCATTGGGATCTCCGGAATCTCCAATTGGGTAATTGGAGATTGGGGGGATCACAATTGGGTGAGGTTGGGATTTGTGAGTACACCCCAACCCACTAGAACATTCACAACCTAAACTAGGATATAAAAGTACAAATTCAAAAGTGGTATTTGCAGTCTATTTCTAACACACCCCCATAGACTGCAAACCCGGTCAAGGAGCACATAGCCCCATGGAACGGAGAAGGCGATGGTGGTCAGCCTTGCTGAGAGAGCCTTGGTAAAGAGGTCGGCGAGGTTGCAATCTGAGGCGATGTACCGTACCGTCAGCTGGTCACTCTGAACAAGATCTCGGATGAAGAAATGACGAAGTTCGATGTGCTTGGTGCGAGAGTGGAACAGAGGATCCTTGGTGAGATGAATGGCACTCTGGTTGCCACACCACAGGGTGGGCGACTGCTGGGGGTAGCCTAACTCAGCGAGGAGAAAGGAGAGCCAGCGTGCCTCTTGAGCAGCCATTGTGCCCGCTTAGAGCTCAGCCTCGCAGGACGACAGGGAGACTGCAGAGGACCGAGTGGAGCACCAGCTGATGACTCCGCTACCAAGGGTGAAGCAGTACCCTTGGGAGGAGCGTCTGTCAGTCTAGTCATCGGCCCATAAGGAGTCTGTGTATCCCTCAAGCTTGACTGGAGAGGTACCACCAAGAGTGAGGATGTGAGACTTGGTGGCTTGTAGATAGCGGAGGACCCTCTTGGCTGCAGACCAATGCGAGGCAGTGTAGCGTCCGGGGGAGACGTACGGAGAGAGGACACTAACCGGGTAAGCCAAGTCTGGTCGAGTGCACATCATGGCATACATGAGTGAACCGACTAGCTCAGGGTACGGGTCCTTGCAGGCGTCAGGAGAAGGAACTGGAGGGGCCGTGAGCTGATGCTGTAGTGGGAGTGGAGTGGAGACAGAGTTACTGGAGTCCATGTCGAACCGCTTGAGAAGGTTGTCGATGTAGGACTCCTGGGAGAGGGTGATCGTGCAAGCCTGGCGATCACGAGTGATCTCCATCCCCAGGTAGTTCTTGAGGTCACCAAGATCCTTCATGAGAAGGGCGGAGCTGAGAGCAGACTGGACAGCTGCCATGTCGGCTGGATCTCTGGCGGCTAGAATGAAGTAATCGACGTAGACGAGGATGTAGAAGGGCTCGGAGGAGTGACGAACGAAGAGACTGGAATCTGAGGCAGAGGGATGGAAGTCAAGTGCGAGGAGGACTTCCTTCACCTTGTTGTGCCACTCACGAGGAGCCTGCTTGAGGCCATACACTGGGCGCTTCAGCTTCTACACTGTGTTGGCAGGGTAAGTGCCAGGAAACCCCGGTGGGCGTTCCATATGAACATCCTCCTTGAGCTGGCCTTGGAGAAAGGCGGAGGAGGCGTCCATGGACTTGATCTCGAAGTTGCCGCGAGCGGCTATATCAAGAAGAGCGCGCATAGTCGGGAGCTTGGCCGTGGGCGAGAATGTTTCGAAGAAGTCGAGATACTCCTTCTGGGTGAAACCCTTCGCCACGTATCGTGCCTTGAACAGTGGAGCTTCGCCTGGGAGTTGTTTGACTTGGAAGATCCATTTTCCGCCGACGATGTTGACACCGGAAGGGGGAACAACATCGTCAAAGCTGTTGTTGCGAATGAACGCCTCGTTCTCCACATCCATTGTTGCCTTCCACTCCTTCTTATAAGGCCCCAAGAGAGCTTCCTCTTTTGTGCGAGGAGTCGGAATGGTCGGGTTCTCGGTGAATTTGAGGGAAGGGCAGTCAGTAATGTCCGGGAAGATGTGAGAGAGAAATTGGCAGACCGCGTGAAGGTCAAACAGCTCCTCATGCCTGTCCTCCAGAAGTGCACGGGGCGGAATACGGATGGAGGGGACATCACCCCCGGCAGGAGGAGGCGGGGTGACCGAACACCGGATGGAGAAGGCGGCTGGTCCCCAGGCAAGAGGCGGAGCCGGTCCCTTGGAACGAGTGCGACTAGAGACCGGAGACGAAGGCGGCTGCGGTGGGACCGGAGGGACTGCGCGCCTCCGATAGGAGACTGGTGAGCTGGGCTCGACGCGCAGGGAAGGCGGAGCAGGAGGAGGTGCCGCTGCGGAGGATACTGGGGAGGCCGGGCGAAACAAGCCGGACAGAGAAGGCCCCGGAGAAGGGGCAGCGGCCGGAGGTGGGGCATGGAAGTCTGCCCAAACAAGCGTCGGGGGAGGTGGAGGAGGCTCGCCCGTGGTCGCAGAGTGGAATGGGCGTGTCTCATCGAAGATGACATCACGGCTGCGAATCAGCTGTCTGGTGATTGGGTTGAGGAATAAGTAGTCTGGGGAGTCGGAGTTGTGCCCCAGGTACATGCAGGTCTGGGTTTTGGGACCAAGCTTGCCACCTTGCTTCCTGCACGTGTGGGGGCTTAGCAACACATACGCGGTACACCCCCAGACGCGTAGAGAGTGGGCGGAAGGCGTGACCCCAAGCCAGAGAGCGGTAGGTGTGGTGTCGGGCCGGTGGGGATGCGGATATCGAATTTGCCATTGCGAAATTCTCCCCCGCCATCAGAATGGAGGCACTTGAGAGGAGTGCCGAACGTGACTTGAGCCTGGCGTACCCACGCCATGATGACATCAGGTGCCTCCGCCTTGGTATGCAGGAGGTGCACAGAAACATACCGCGAGTAGTCATC